CCCCAAGTGGCACAAGCGCCACAACCGGCTCCTCCTCCTCCTCCAACGCTTCTCCCAACGCCTCTTCTTCAGCAGCCGCCAGGATCTCTTGATTATATGTTTCCGAACACTGGCGGTACGTTCTTTCCCAAGAGGCAAAGTCGGCACTGGGGAAGAGGCGGCCCCAGGTCATGCGCTGGATTTGAGCGGAGTCTTCCATCATCTCCCGGACGAGCTCTTTCTTCTCTTGCTCGGCCTTTTCCGAGAGCTCTTGGGTAAGACTCTTCTCTTGGCTCACCAGGCGTTCTTTTACGCTGGCCAAGGATTTCTCCATGGCTTCGTAAGAGTACATTTTTAGGCGAAGAGGTTTCAGCTCGGCCTTAAGATTTGTGATGGTCGCCTCCAGCTCGTCATTCTTCTTTTGGGCCGCCTCTAACTGAGCCCGAACAGCGGCGGTAGCCTGCGCCTGATAATAAAGAATATCAATGGTCAGTACTTCATTTTGGGCAATTTGAAACATTGCCTTATCACAGTCAGAGGCGGCCATAGCTTTTGCAGCCTTTACCTCTTTGTTCTTCCGATCAAGCGGCTTGCGAAGGCCGTTAACTCGGAGCAGGGCCTAAGTACAAAAAAAAAAACAGGCGTCAGTTTCCAAACAAAAAAAGATAACAGGCGTCCTGGAATTCAAATACTCAAAAAGTATACCTCAGCAAGGACCCCTGCAATCCCATCAAGGTCAAGGGTGCCGACACCCCTGACCGCCTCTTTTTCAGATGGAGGAACTGCTTTGATCATGGACTTGGCTACCTCTACCAAGTCAGGCCCCTGAGGGCCGGCTGCATCAAGCGTAAAAAAGCAAGTTAGACCTAGTCAAGAAGGAAGCAAGTGTAAAAGTTTTTACAAGTAATTGTCCATACTTCTAGGCGGCCCCGCCGGGGTTTTAGAAGAAGTGGCCGGCTGCTTCTCAGCCGCCACTGTTTTCCTGGAAGACCCAGGAGAGCTTGCAACAGTCGTCCTCCGGGCCTTGGGTCCGGCTGTTGCGAGGAAGAAGCTCTTGGAGTGCCCGACTGAAAAAAAAAAAAAAAGAGAGTTAGTATATGCATAAGACAACTCCTAAAAGAGGAAGAGTTTCGAAGCCTACCAAGGGTGCCCCCTTGTTGGGGGAGTCGGTACAAGACTGTTGCATGAGAGAGGCCCGCAACATGGCCGCCGCAGTCTTGGATGCTGTTATTTTACTCATGGCGTCAGCTGCAAAAAATAAACAGCAAAGTTAGTAAAAATCCCAAGTAAACAAGGCGTGAAAAAACAGAGTATTTGTCAGGCCGGCTACCTCTAGAGCACCGACTGCTGAGGCCACAGGCGGCCAAAAGGTACTCTTCATAGAGCCACTTGAAGCTCGGGACGCAGTTTAGGGGTACTTGCTCTCGTACCCCTGAAGTAGAGTTCACCCTAGTCTCTACTTTGAAGAGTCCTTTGTCTAGGATCTCTTTTTTAGCCTTTGGGGGAACATGCGGCATGCTGCGGCCGCCTGCGAGAAGAGGCGGATCCCTATTCCACTTGTTAAAGCGTTTGTTCAGCTCTGTGTCTGAACCCTCGATGATAAGGAAGGTGTTCCGCCAATCCTTCCATTTGTTCGCCTTACCTCTCGTCATGAGGTAGCCCCTATGGCTTGTTAATTGATACCAGCCGGTACCTCCCGACTTAGGGGTCCGGCTGAGATAGTTCATGTGGGCGAAAGCCTCAAAGCTTGGCTCCACCCCGTACATTTCGCACCCGGCCACATAGCCGAGTACGTTTACCCAAGAGTTGGGGGCTAACTGCCATAACCCCAAATCATACCCATCTAAAATCCGCTGAACAGCCGGATGTAATGGGAAGCGCAGTCCAGCTTTGATGGCCGCCACATAGCAGCCAAAGCAGCCGTCATCATAGCTGGTACCAGCCGGCCAGACGACAGTGTCTTCTGGATCCGGCACGAACAGTAAAAATCCGGGGCCCATTCTGTGGTTAGCTATAAAGCTCTCCACTTTGTCTTGCATGGCTGCGATCCGGCCCCGGGGTACCGTGCAGTAGTAGGGGGTGTTTTCCTCTCTGTAAGAGGCGGACGGCTCCGCCCAATTGCCCCCCTTCTCAACTGCATGAGAAAGCCTTGCCTCTTGTAGGCGGCTGTTTCTTTCTTCTGAGCCTGGAGAAGCGTGGCCAGAAGAGCTGGACTCGGACTCGTCCTCTGACGAGTCTGAAGAGGACGACTCCTCCCCTCTCCCAGAGGGGCCCGCCTCCTCTCCCTTAGAAGGAGCAGGAGGAAAATTAGACATATCAACGGTGAAATGGGAAGGGACCACCTTGACCCCTCCCTCAGAACTGTCGGCTTGGCAGCCGCCTCGTTTCACTTCTACATCTGGCGCCTGGTCAGATGTTTCACTAATGAGCACCCTTTGGGAGGAGCCGTCCGAGTTTGAGATCATAGCAGTCTTTTTTGTTCTGGCCATCACGTTCTGCATAGACACAGATACAGTCGGACTTTGTATAAAGGGCAAAGATGGGTCCAGAAAAGGGCAGGCGACACTCCTAGTCCTAGATTCAGCCGTCCCCGGTGACCGGCTGATCACTAACTTAGGTCGTGTCGTGTGCTTCCGTGATGCCATTTCAAAAAATAAAAAGAAAATTAAGAGTAAGAGAACTGAGTTACCTGAACGAGTGACGGTTGATGAAGTTTTGGAAATCCGGTGCAGTCGGCTTGTCAGAACAGGCGGTAGGCAGAAAAAGTCCAAAATGTCAGAGCAAGTTCAGGGGTCCGAATGTTCTCAAATAGTTCTCAAAGTGTGAAAATGACTCAAGGCAACTCTCCCTTATATAGGCGAAGTGAGAAGGCGAAGGGTCACTTCCAGAATTCAAAATTTGGGCGGGAAAATCTCTCGTCCATTCGCCGAGTGACACCTGTAGCAGGCCGTCGCCCGTTACAGTGCGACACCTGTCACAGGTAACACGTGACCAATCACGTGCCACCTGTGAGGGGCAAATGATTAGGGGATTTTGCTCCTACCAATCGGAATGCGCCACGAGGGCCAATCAGGACCTGCCAAGTGTCCCCTAGTTGGAACTGTCAGGGCTTGCCACGTGGCACGCGCTTATTCGTCCACCTTGGACCTGTTATGTCACGACATGTGGCATACTCCATGCCTAATGGAGAAACCGGCCACCCAGGCCCAACTTCCGAGGGAAGCCCAATCGGCCCTAGGTTTACCTAAACCTAGGATGGGCACGTTTCCCAAGGTTATAAATACCTCCCTTAATCCTCATTAAGGGGAGGGTCAGGACAGAAACATTACGGAACACACTAATAACCGGCTGATCTCGCTAACTAAGCAGATTACCTACCTTAAACACTCTCACCTAGAGAGACCTTATTACTTTAATTTCCGCATTAATTACTCCTTAATCAGGTACTAACTTGACCGTTGGAGGCGGAGCTCACAGGAGTCTCCGTTATTTTGCAGGTACAGGCGTCCGGTTCCAGTCTCGGAATTGTAACTCTCCCGCAGGACATCAGAAAACCCCGAAACAATATCCATAACAACATCTCCCCTTTTTAACTCTTATTTATAATTTATAATTATTATAATGGTATAAGGAGAAGGATCAAAGAAGGTTGAATATCCCACTCGTCCACTAAGGGTGAGAATTGAACCCTCTTAATTATATAGGCGGAAGGAGGGCCGATATCCAGCCAATAGACCAACCTCAAATTTCAATTTATATGTGTGATATGTTTATGTAATTGCTAGTTTAGTTATATTGTTATATGTGAATTTGTTTATTTCACTTGCTAGTTCAATTCTGTATATGTGAACTTGTTGATTTAGTCTTTAAAAATCCAAACAATAACAAAGGAATTTATATGGAGTTTTAACTTATAAGAAGTATTGTTTTGGAAACAAATCCAAAAAGGTTGGGGCTAGGACTAGGAATCAAGTTCATTCTTTTCTTTTGGCCTAAATCTTTTTAATGAAGTCAATCAATTCACCTTAATAGGCAAAAAAATTCACTAACCAATTGTAAGCAAATGAAGGTGTATATAATGGTGATGTAAAAAAAAATAAATTACCAGTTCAATGTAGTACTAGAATGGTTAATTTGGTTAATTTTTAACTCTTATCTAATTTGGTGGAGTTTAGTAGTTGATTATGTGGCACTTTAATTGTTCCTGGATCAAACCTTCATACGCACTACCCGCCTAAACTCAAACTTTTTATCTAATCATATAAATATCATAATTTAATCTTAAAAGAATCTAAAAGTTTTAAACTTTCAAAAAGAAACGATCTATTAGATATGGACTTGCTAGTCACAAAGAAATTGACCAGTCGATGCGCTGGCCTACAAAGAATGACGAAATGTAAATCCGTGAATAAAAAAATATTAAGAGGAAAGTTTAAGGAGGAATCTCGAAAGAATAATTTCAAGGCATACCTGGTTTAAATAAAGACCGCATAAAAAATGGTATAAAGCGGGAGAAAAATTGTGAGTGAAGAGCCTACCAACTCTTAAGAACCAAGAAATAAAATAACCATATAATAGAGAATTTCGAGTAACTGGGCGTTACGTAAGGCTGAATTCACGTCGAAACGTTTAATATGAACAACTTCAGAAATTTTTAAAAAGGGCAGAAATCGTGAATAACTAATGTGATTAGCGATAGTCATCAGAGCAGACATGTACGAGGTTTAGCTTAAAATATCCATTTGATTGACGTAAAAATATAACAGGCTTTAGTTGAATATGAACCAATTGAGGAGGATGGTCTCACTTTTCTTTACTAAAAGTGCTTATCACTAAACTACCTTTAGAGGAATAAGACTAATCTGGCTTGAGACGAGGCTCGGAGAAAGGTAACTTTGGAGAAAAGAAAAGCGAGACCATACCACTCTTTTAGGCTTAAAGTTTGACAAAAAATCAAACCGAAAATAAAAGGTTGTGTCGGGCCAACAAAGTGTTTTCGCTGTTGGTGAGCACAACCTTGACCGCGTGCCTTTTCCATCTTAACTACTCAGTCACTCATGTAGTCATCCATATTAACTACTGCGACATGACACCAAATTATCTTCAACTAGTTCTAGTAGAGAGTAAGAAAAAACGAAGCGGTTTGGGTGATCTAGTCTAGAACGAGTACTAAACACTGAACAGTGAACACTCAGCACTTCTCCGACGAGAGGTTGCCGGAATTGCTATTGTTTTGGAAACTCCGACACTGCTGCCACTTTAGTTGATCACACCTCTGCAAATTTAGGGTTTTGGCGGATTCATTTTATTTTCAATATGAATATTAATATGAATGTTATGGTAAACTCTTTACCATCATCTTCATCTTCATCTTGTTCGTTTTCGAAATTTCTAATGGCAATGCAATGTTTACAGGAGGAAATTCAATTAAAAACCCTTGAAGAACTCGCGGATTCTCACCCAGATGACCCTTCCCACCAGTTTAATCTTGTAAATTTTATCTCTTTTTTAGGGTTATCATTGCAATTTTTAATTTTGTTCGATTTAAATAACGATAGTTTCGCCGAAATTAGCTTGAATTGCTGATTGTATGGGGCTGGTTTCAGGGGAAATTGATTTGGGAAAGAGGAGAAGAATGGAGAGAAAAAGCTGCAGAGCATTTTCTCAAGGCAGCTAAGTTGAATCCCCAAAATGGGGAAGCATTCAGATTTTTAGGTCATTACTATACTTGTGTTTGTTTCGATACTCAGAGAGCTCTCAAATGCTACCAGCGTGCTGTTACGCTAAATCCCGATGATTCGCAATCCGGGGTTTGTTCTCTTAGTTTTCAATGCCAATTCAATTTATCATTTATGTCTTGATTAACAGTTATGCTTTCTGTTTTGTTACTGCTTTCTAGAGTAGAATTTAAGGTGCATTTTGTTTGGTTTTATAAGGAAGCATTGTGTGATTTACTGGACAAAAGTGGAAAAGAGAGCTTAGAGATTGCTGTGTGCAGGGAGGCGTTCGGGAAGTCACCCCGTGCCTTTTGGGCATTTGCCAGACTAGGTTTGCTGATGGTAAATATATATATATATATATTTTTCGTTATAGTTGTTCCTTTCGCATGAATCCTTGAGGGGAAAAACAATCAAACTTGAAAGAGAAGATTGTGTTTATATTGAAATGCATTGTCCTTATATGTTGGCATATACGTACATATGTTCAGGTGCATCAAAACAAGTGGTCTGAGGCAGTTCAGAGTCTTCAGCATGCCATCAGAGGCTACCCAACCTGTGCCGATCTCTGGGAAGTCTGTATCCCTTTTTATACTTTCCATTGTATCTCCTTTGTGTAAATGCATGCACCTGATGCTTTGTATTTATCTAGCCAAATTGACTTTACTTCTTTTCCTTCAGGCGTTAGGTCTTGCCTATCAACGACTTGGCATGTATACTGCTGCCATTAAGGTACACCCCCTTCCTTCTACTTTTTTTTTTTTTTTTTTTTTGGTATAAATTTAATATTATTGGCTTGTCAAATAAAGTGACTACTGGTTTTAAGTTCATTCTGCTATTTCCTCACATATGACCTCAAATGTTTTCTACCTTTTATAATTAGGCTTTTGTGCCATGCCACCCACAGTCATGTGTATATGTTTAACAGAATTGTTTATCTTCTGCCATTAAGACACAGTATGTCAGCATCTTATTGCAGGGAAACACAAACACACAATTGCTGAAGCTCATTTCATACTCGTAGGGAATGTGGAAACTCAAACTTAAGCAATAAATTAATAAGTTTGATTTTGCTAATTTTGTTAATTTTAAGAAATGTGAGAAACATAGGGTCATTTTGTGGCACTAACTATCCTTGAGTAGTCTTTTTTATGTAAAGAAAACGTTCCACCCTTAGTTTCCCTGTGTCCAATGTAACCTCAGTGGGAGGTTGCATGCTTTCCTAGGCCAGTATATATGTCAGTCCAATTGATTTAAAACGAAAGAGTTGCCTCTGTTTTTGCCTTATTTTAAACTGAGAATTTGAGTAATTCCACCGAGAAGCTACAAACATGTGAAGCCTAGATGCCTAGTGCTTAGAGCCATACGAAATCTCTAGCTTCACGCACTGAATTTTAAAAAAGTAGCAAGAAGAAGGTTGAGATTCCTGTCGAAATGTGTAATTGCCTTGGGAAAGAAGTAATGATGTGATTGACTAAGTGTGACTACTTTTTTAGATGTCATAATTCCTTTGACAAGGAAAAAAGATACTAGTACTAAGTACCACAAAGAGAGTATTCTCCTTAAGAAACTAATGAAAAATATTTCATGCCAATCTCATTGAATATCAACCAAAGCTAAGCCCTGAAAAATACGTGTAGAATCGATTTTTAAATATTTGATTCCTGCTCTACTCTAACGATAGGGACTTTATAAATCTGTGACTCGTGTGAGTAAAAAAAAAAAATGTTGACTTCGGCTTGATCTTGAAAGTTGTTGGTGCTGGACTGCTTGTCCTGCTGCTAGTAAGTGTTGTAATATGTATATATGTTTGCATCTTCAAGTTTTCCTCTTCATACATCTGCTAATGAATTGAATATATGCTTTCTGCAGTCTTACGGGAGAGCAATGGAATTGGAAAATTCAAAAGCCTTTGCTATGATTGAGACTGGAAATATTTTTCTAATGCTTGGTTCGTATCGGAAGGTATGTCTCTGTGTAAAAGCTTTATCTTAAAAGAATTTAATGCATTAGTTCAAATTAAAGGTTGGATGACATTGTGAGTTTTGCTTATGCTATCATTCCAAACGTTCTTACATTGTACTTCAGTCCTTCCAAAACAGTGCGTAAGGATTTGACCATCACCCATCCCTTTCTTTTTTTTTCAAGCATGTCTTTATTACAAATGCAACAGTAATATTGTGTCATTTTGAATATACTTAGTGCATCAAAGAGGTTAAGGTGTCATTTGAAAGAAGATCAATGAAAGACACTAGTTTGTTAGCTTAATTTCACGTCAGCTAAAGAAAAAACTCTTTAACATTTCTACAGAGTTTTGTTGCATGAAAGAAAGTCTTTTAAACTAAATCATAGTAGCCATATTCCGTAGACAAGCCACTGGAAATGTAGAAACTGATGATTTTAGGTTTTTGAGCTCTCAGAACACAAAAATCTGGATGTAGGCATTGATATGCTCTCCAAATTTACTAATTGTCAAATAAAAGTTTCTCAACAACTCATCATTGCAAATTCCTCTAAGGGGCGTTTGGAATGTGAGGGTAAGGGAAATAGATGGTCTGGCTATTTTAGTTGTTTGTTAGGCCAAATTTACTAATTGTCAAGTGTTAGTTAAGCCTGATACTTGATGTTTCTTGATTAATTGCTGCATGTTAGCTCATGAGTTTTTTTTTCTTCGTTTTTAAGTGATATATACACTTGGGGTCTGTATAATTTATATCTTTACTATTTCAGGAAATATATATTTTCCATCTCTCTCTGAACTCTTTTGTGTGTCCTTTCCTTTTAGGGAATTGAGCAATTTCAACATGCTCTGGAGATATGCCCTCAAAGTGCATGTGCACAGTATGGGCTGGCTTCTGGGCTTCTTGCTCTATCACAAGAATGCATTAAGCAGGGTGCATATTCATGGGCAACATCTCTATTGGAGGTTCTTGTCTTTTTTTCATGAATAGGAAGATGCATTGAGATTTTTCTTCTGATAACATAGTTCCCAATTGTTGCAGGAGGCATCTGAAGTTGCAAAAAATAGTGCTGTTTTGACCAGTAATATGTCATGTGTATGGAAGCTACATGCTGATATACAGGTAATTGTTTGAGCTTCATCTTATATATATAAAAAAAAAAAGGCACGAAAAAAAAAAAACACTGTTCTATCCCCTTTTTGGTTGTAATTATATTAGCATACCTATGCAATAATAATATAATCCTGATTTTTTTCTACTCTCAAATTTCATGTGAAGTAAGTTCCCACATAGGGCAGAGGCATTTGTTTGGACAACTGTACTTATTGCGAAAATTTTACAATTTGCAAACTTGGACATGTAACAAGGAGCTTTTTCCTGTTCTGTGTGATATCTTGTGATAATGGAGAGATTTGAAATCACCTATTTTCATAATTATAAGGAGAGGTTGGATTTGTTAAAGTTTGTATGCATGTCTAGTATTTATGTTATCTGTATTGAATCTTTATGAATTGAATCTTCTAGTAGATTCTCTTATCGCAATTCTTTGTTGAATAAGATAATTATGGTGTATCTTTGGGCAAGTGATACTAGTTCTAAGATCAACCGCCCACAATCACTGTTGCTTGCTGTATGACTCCGACCTCAATGCTCTGTCACCATTCCTTTCCTATACCATCACCACGTCTTTTTGATGACCATTCTTGCTCTCTTTTATGTGTTGCCTCTCTCTTCTTTGCCTGATTTTATTTTATTCTAATGATAATTGAAATGCTATGTTGGGTACAATAAAATCCTGTTTTAGTTGTACAATATATTGAAGTACTTTTCAAAGCACATGGCGCACTTAAATATTACAATACATAGTTATTACGTAACCTGGATTGCCATCATGAGAGGGAGGGAATCAAATATGATTCAGTCTTCTACATGTTTAACGCAACTGCAATTAACTTGTGCTGGTTACTAAATGCTTCTTATTTTGTTTTGCCAGCTTACTTATGCAAAATCATTTCCATGGACAGAAGGTGGTAATCTGAAGGGCGAGGAAGCCTTTTCTAGGTCTCTTCTTTCCTGGAAAAAAACACGCCAAATAGCTGCTGTGTCAGCCAAATGTTCCTACCAGCGGGCTTTGCACTTAGCTCCATGGCAAGCAAATATATATATGGATGTTGCTGTGGCTCTTGATCATGTTTGCTCTTTACAGGGGAGTCATGAAACTGATTTGAGCTCCTGGTAAGATTCTCCGTTCTGCTTCCTTTGAACTTATCTTATCCTTGCTTGTTTCAGTTCTCAAGATGTCATTTAATTCTTGACTTCGTCATCAGGAAAATATCTGAGAAGATGCTGTTAGGAAGCTTGCTACTTGAGAGTGACAATCATGAATTTTGGATGGCATTGGGATGCATGTCTGATCATAGGGCATTGAGACAACATGCCTTTATCCGAGGGTTGCATTTGGATGTTTCTCTAGCTTCTGCATGGGCTTATCTCGGCAAGGTATTTCCTCAGGCATACCTAGAAGCATATTTAACACCACTTTTCTACGAAATGCACACACATACCCAATTAAATTTTGGAGAATGGATAGGGAGTTGTGGCTCTATTTCCAGAATATCTAAAAAGAAGGAATTATATGTATAATAGTGCTATTATACATGAACTTCTAACATTACAGGGATATAGCCATTATATTTTTGTAGTAATATGTTTACTTTTTCAATGGCTGTTTGTTCAAAGTAATGTGTCACCAACATCTGAAACCTGAAATGCAGAAAATCTGCTGCAGGTGATAACATAAGTGATACATGAGTGAGCGCCATTAAGGGGTGCAAAAGGTTTTGATTGACTGGATTTCCTTGCATGTAAGAAAGTTATTTTGTGAGTTCTGCTGAATGTAGTAGTTTCTTGTTTCCCACATATCATTAGTACTCTTTTGTTTTCCTCTTACTCTAACAAAGTTATATCTTAAGCAGTCTTTTGAGTCATTAGCCTAATACTCCATGGATGTGTTAATTTATTTCGCTTTCCTTACTTTTTTGAAAAACGACTCCGTTTGATGGACTGTATGTAGTCATTATAGAGCTAAAAGTCAGGTTTTAAATTGTAAAGTTTTAGCTATCCTTTACTTCTATTGCTTTAAAATTTCGTACACATTAATGAGTGTTAATTCATTGATTCTGTACAATAGAAGGAGCCTTGTGCACTGCGTTGGCGGCTGTTTGGATTTCTTTCTTCCCTAATCCCTATGGAAGATGAATGATTTCATAGTCCAAAATGAAGCTAAATAGTTCCGTCCTGCATAATTTTAGTTATTGTATAGGCTTTTGACATTTGAAAATTCAGCACCACGTGGCTCATGCCTATTTTGGATTTGTGCAGTAGGGTTTTGCTTTGGACTTCTCCTCTTGAAACTTCTAACTCTAATGGTCTTTATGACGTTGAGGCTTATGCGTTGGATGTTGCTTTTTATAGCTATACAAAGAAGAAGGTGAAAGCCAATTGGGAAGACAAGCCTTTGACAGGGCTCGAAGTATAGATCCTTCTCTTTCATTGCCATGGGCTGGCATGTCAGCAGATACGCTTATCAGGTACTACCTCCGTGTTTTTTTTCTTTTTTTTCTTTCTTTTTTTTTTTTCCAGTGCATTGGTTTGGCTGGCACTAAGTTTTTAAAAAGTATAGAATAGAGATAGTGGGGTAATAGTTTATAAAAAAAGTTAGGGATGTGAGAGGAGATTTACTAGAAAGGTAAGAGTGGGGACCTTGTGAAGAGAGAGAGATAATAAAAATATACTAAGATAACATGTCCAAAAAAGGTAGTGATGCACTAAAAAAACAGTGGGAGTAGCTCTTTTGGGTTGTGCTTGTTTGTCCGACTTTTATTGATGTTTTTACCTGATTCTTCTTTTATATGATATTACTGAAGGGAAACTGCATCAGATGAGGCTTACGACAGTTGCTTACGAGCCGTTCAAATATTGCCTGTAAGTTTATCAGTTCATACATGCTATCTAAATTACTGGCAACAAATTTTTTTTCCTCTGGAACTTAAAAGAATATTGCAGTAATCTTATTTTTGATAGGTTATTCATTTTATTTTACTTTATAAATATTTTTCCTCCGTCAATAACATTGTGATGTGATGTACCTGAGTGTTGTAGTTATAAATTTCGGTTTTTCCTGCTTCACAGCTTGCTGAGTTTCAGATTGGCCTTGCAAAACTTGCTCTACGTTCAAACAACCTATTATCTTCAGAGGTATGATGAAATTCTAATGGATTCAATTGGGACTGGGTAATTGTGCTGAGTGCTAGGCTGATTGTTTCAGTAATCAAGTTTCACATTTATTTCTCTCATTATTGCCCCAGGTATTTGGATCTATCAGGCAAGCGTTGCAGTGTGCTCCTTGGTATCCTGAGTCTCATAATCTTAATGGGCTAGTTTCTGAGGCACGACATGATTATCAATCTGCTATCGTTTCTTATCAGCTAGCACGTTATGCATGGAAGACTTCTACACTTTCCTTGTCCCATTCTCATTTTGTTGATATATCAATTAATCTGGCTAGGGCACTCTGCAAGGTGTGTGTATATGTTGGCTTTTCCTGTAAAATTTTTCGTGTGCCCGTTTTTCCATTTCTTTTGTTTTAGATGTGAAGAAGCTGCTCTCATATGATAACTGAAAAAGATATAAAACTGGTGATTAGGGATGGCAAATAATAAAATAATGTAAATAAAAATGGGAATATTGGTTAATTCTAATATCGTTCAGAAATGATTTTTCATGAACCAAACATTTGTGGTTTTGGGTGGACCCAGCGGATTTTTTTTAAAAAAGATTATTTTTTATATAACAAATACAAGTATGTTATTCATTAAGAAATTGAAAATTAATTCTATCTACTATTTCATGGTATGGTAATCAATGGAAGGAGAACAAGTACGCGGTATACTAAACTAGGAAACCAAAGAGAAATGATTGATCTTACAATAGTATATCATAAAGAATGCAATGAAAAGAAGAGTATTGGAGTAGAAAAGAAAAGGATTCTTTTGTGGGCATTGAAAGGGAAAAGGAGTAACATGTCATGGGGTAACACTTTTGTGGTGATTTTGTGGTGTCTGGCCAGAACATGCGAGTCTTCTCAGGAACTGCTTTTACTAGTGATTTGTTTTGGGATAGAATAACCATTTAGCAATTCTGGGGGCCAAGGCAGTGGAGACCTTTTTTTTTATTATTTTTTTTTATTTTTATTTTTTTTAGGAAGGCAGTGGAGGCCTTTTAATAGTTACTCAGTTAAGGAAATTCGTCAGTGTTAAATATTTCAACCTATTTATCTTTGGCTGATTTGAGGACAATTTATCCTCTGCTCTTGACCTCTTGTGCTTTCTGCTCATAAGTATATCTTTTTTGGTTATATAAAAAAAGGAGTTGACGTTTTCTTTATATAAAGAAAAAGTAGTGAACTTTTTCATCATAGGTTCATGGGATTTGTGAACTATATTGATTGCTTCAACCCTACTATTCACCACAGCAGGTTGGGGTTGACTGTTATGCTGGTTGTTTCAGTTACAATTTTGTGTTCAAAATCCTAAATTCTCATATTGATTTCAGGACAGATAAAATGTTTCAAGGTCTATTAATTATATATTGTTAATGTGAGACCAAAACAACTTCAAATTTGTTTTGCTGTTAATATGCCTTACCTTATCCTTTTCATTATATTTAATCCTCCTATCGTTACCCTTAGAAGCCTCGAATAGATAAATCATTCGAAAAAGAATCTTTCTAGATTTCTCGTGATTGTGATGCTTTACTTCTGATACTAAGAAATGCTGATATGAGTGTCTGCTAAAACTCTCTTGAAACATGTAATTTTGTTGCAGGCAGAAAATGTACTAGAAGCTGTGCAAGAATTGGAAGATCTGAAGGAAAGAGGTTTGTGTTGTCAAAGCGTCTGCCATCTTGAATTTCCTTTACAGTGTGTTAATATTCTCCTGTTGCTTCTCTCTCAAAGCTGATTCTGAATAATAGTTGAATCTGAAAATTTGCCTGAAATTATTACATCTTCGTTTATTATAGAGAATGTGATTTAGAAAATTATATGTTGTAGAGTCGTTGGGCTTCCCACTTTTACTTGCTGGTGTTTAAATTTTTCGTTCTATATTTTGATAGGTAGCTGGTAGTCTGGTATTTATGTGTGCATTAACTCAGTGGTTTTAATGAGCATTTTAGGTTTTCTTGACGTTGAAGGCCTTCAAGTATATGCTTTATCATTATGGAAACTTGGCAAGAATGATATGTCCCTATCTGCTGCTAAAGATCTTGCTACATGTGTTCCCACCATGAAGCTGTCCACTGCAGTGGCATCTATTTCTTTAATTTGCTGTCTTCTGTACTCCATTTCCGGGGTAGGATCAACTATCAATAACATTTTGCAAATGCCTAGGGAGCTGCTTCAGAGTGCAAAAGTCAGTTTCATCATATCTGCTGTAGATGCTGTTGATCGGAGCTGTCAATTACAGTCTTTAGTCTCAAGTAGCCGCCGTATCCTTTCAACACAGGAAGAGATTATGGAAATGCATTTGCTGATTGCGCTAAGTAAACTAGTATGTTTCTTGTCTAGTGTTGTTTCTCTTGTTTGTATTATGATTTCTTTGTTTAGATTTTGGGATTCTATTACTTAGGCAGTCATTTATGGTGTGAAATTGGTAAACTGATGAATTACACAGATAAGAAATGGAGATGGACATTCTCTCAGTTTACAAAGTGGCATAAACCATCTTAGAAAGGCATTGCATATGTACCCCAATGGAATTTCTATAAGGTACATCACTTAAATAGCTGTAATATTAGATTTATGTAAATTACAGTTCATTCCCTATCTGGGTATATATATATATATATATATTTCTTGCTATTTGCTCCTGGTCTATTTTTACTCAAGTTTTTTCTCAAAATGCTTTCTCTGTTTTCTTATTTATGTAACACTTCTATATACACTATACAATCTCTATTTTTGGCTATTTTTTCGCTAGGGAATCCATAGTTATGTGGGGTCTTATTAGATCCATTTTGATTTATGCTTTCCACTTATATTTTATTCTATTAATTTCTAGTCGTTGATTATTTAAGTTATAATTAGTTGAAGAGATGCATTGACAAGTGTGTAACAAGTAGTGGTTTATCTACATACTCTGTTTAATAATACTTGTGCTTTCTATGCTTCCCTTAAATGGAAATGCCACAATACTTGCTACCTAGTACTACTTTCGAAAAAATTTACACCTTAAAATTACAAAATTGCCTTGATATTAAAAGATAAGGACCAGATTTAGGGGGCTAAAAGGTAATGTTGACTTGCCAAAAGTTGGTCCCTTTCTATCTCATTCTCTATGTAGCAACTATTCTGAAACTGATGATTTATTTTTGACAATGGGCTTGTTTAATATGCAGGCTGTTTTGATAATTTTATTCATCACATTGTAGTAATTTTGAACTTAATCAAGGTGCCATAAGTTATGTTTTGACTTAATGAGAATGGAGCTGCCAGAAAGTTTAAAAATTATATACTTTATGCACCTTATAGAAGAGCCATGGAAAGTTTGTAGAGTGGGCTGAAATGAGAAGACTTTGTCAGTTCATCTTTTGTGAGTTATGTTTGAGAGGATTTAGAGTATGCTTGGTGCTGTCTACAAGATGGCAGCTGTTAAAACAGCTTTAGCAACTGGCCATTTTAAGAGTTAAATAATTAGCTGATGGGCCTATAAGGGTTTAAATGATAGGTGTTTGCATCAACTTTCAGCTGTCCAAAGAAGATCAATGTGAGAATAGATCCTATATGTCATAGTGACAACATAACTAGGCATTTTATGTGGAGCTCTATCAGGAGGCTGCTGTTAGATGCTCAAGACTCATGGGGATATTCCTGTAGATTTGTATCTATGTTGTTCTTGGTGGACTGGTGGTCCTATCTTATGTCTCAATATTTCAGCATCAAAAATTTTCTTGTAATATTGGGGAAGCAATTTTTCTTGTTATAATTTAGATAAATTATTATTGGTTTTTAAACAAATACCAAAAAACAACGAACTTCTTTAATCCCATTTCAACTGTCTGTTTTTAGTTCCAAACAATAATCAAGCCTACATTGGCAATAAGAATGGATGATATCCCTTATCCTTGATCGATTTTCAAAGCATGTGAATCGCCCTATTAGTTTACTCTTATTTCATACTTGCTACTGTTGCAAGTGCGTTTTCTGTTTAAGGCTTCTTCTGCTTCTTTTTTTTTTTTGGGTGATGAGGCTTAGCTGCTTGCAGAAATATGCTCGGATATCTTTTGTTATCCCTTAAACAATGGGAAAACGACCATGTTGTAAGGAGGTGCTGTGCTGTTGTTCCGTTTAACTCAATAAACCAAGACTTCAGATCTGCGCATGAAATTATTGGTGCTGAAGCTGTTGCTTGTCATGCTACTTACAGCTGCAAACCGAAATACTCTCTTTCAACATGTAAATACCAGAATGCGCACGGTGCATCACTAATAGGGTTAATGCAGAGGTATGATGTATGTAATAAGTTTTGAAATGTATAAATATTTATTGTTAAGACTAAGCATTGCAACAAGACCATCTAATTTCTATATTGTATTCATGTCAACTAAAATGAAGCAGAGGAAGTATTAGAATACTGTTTGGTTTAAACTACAGCTGTCTTCTGGAAATACATATATACGAACATTAAATTCTGAATGTAGAAATTAGGTGGTCTTGTTTAATGTTTTGGTGACTAGTTGCGCTCTTCAATATTTATGTTTTGGCCGGGTCCAATCTTATTCAAAATTTTTTGGAATTATATAAGAATCTAGGCCAAAAACAGGTGATGATAGGCTAGTTAAATAGTGTTGTGACAATCATTTCTAAGCATCTTTGCACACTCATACTTTCAATTATTTGATTTACCCTAGCTGAAATATCGTGGCAGCTTGTAGTTTTCCCATTTTATGTTGTGGTTAAGATGTTTCATATACATAAGTTATATCCAGGACATAGTTATATATAATGTAATCAGGATATGGTTCTTGACTTCACTGACGATTAACAGGTCTTTTTGCTAGTGATATTTGTAAATTTTTCAGTCTGTTATATCTATTGGTGCGTACATCAATAGATCTTGCTTATTTGAGCTATAATGTGGTATTCTTATAGTCCATTTACTCTTAATATTTAGTCTATCTTTTCCCAATCCTCTTATAAGTTTATAATTGTTGTGTAGATGGCTTCGTCTTGAACCTTGGAACCATAATGCTAGATACTTTCTAGTACTTAATTTGCTTCAAACAGCATGCCAAGCAAAATGTCCGCAACACCTTTTGAACGTGCTCAAGCGGATGACTTCTGTAGCTGTCACGAGTCAGTTATCTTTGAATAAGACATTTGAAAGATATAAAAGATTTCAGCTGCTTCTGTGTTCCTCTGAGCTCAATTTGCTTGGTGGAGATATGTCAAGCAGTGTTTCTCTTGCAAGGGATGCATCAAACCTTTCGCTTTCTGATGCCAATACCTTTTTTGCCCATTTACAATTATGCCGCGCTCATGCTGCTGAAGATAACCAGACAAGTCTCAATGTAGAGTTTACAAAGTGCTTGAAGCTTAAAACTAATTACCCTATTGGTTGGATTAGTCTTAAGATTATTGAATCTCGTCATAGACCCCAGGATGGTTCCACTTTCTTAGATTCAGGCTTTAGAGATAGTATTAAAGAGATCAAGGAGTCAGAGAATTCATGGTTGGCTGTCTACAAACTGTTTTGTGGTTTAGCTTCTCAATGGGCTCAAGATTTTCTACGTGCAGAGGAGTTCCTTGCTGAAGCTTGTTCACTAGCACCTACTGAGAGCTGCTTCTTCCTGTGCCATGGTAATAAATTGGTTGCATTACTGGCCTTCTAAAGCTTTGTTGTTGTTGTTGTTGTTGTTGTTGTTGTTGTTGTTGTTGCTGTATTAGTCTGTTTGGCTGTGCTCACTTTCTTTCTCAAACTTGGTACATCTGTTAGAAGTTAGAATGAGTATGTGAAAGAATCTTATTCCCTGTTTTCTTGACCTGAATGTTGCTGAATGTAAATTATTCTAGCTTTATGTTTTTTTTAATGAAATTAAATTATATTTGCTGAAATTAAACTATTTTTACTGATTAAATCTTATTTTTTACTAAAATTTAACTTTATATTGATATGAGATAATTTTTACAAATTTGATATTAAATTTGTTTTTTAAAGTTACTTATTAAAGTTCATTTTTATTGTTTAAAACTTATTTTATTGAACTAAACTTATTTTTGTTGAACGAACATATTTTTGCTATATGTATTTTTTTTTTTTTTTTTTTTTGAGGGAAACATATGTATTTAATTATACTGAATCGAAGTTATTATTACTCAATATTATTTGTTTTGAAAAGAGCCTTAATGTTTCCATCTTCAATATTGTTGATAGAGAGAGATAGAGAATATGAGATCTTGAAGATGATGGTTTTAGTTGACAGATAGTAAATATTCTTGAGAAGATAGTACCTTTCTGTTGATAAATCAAATATTAGGATTTTTGAAAGGTCATTAATAAATCTTTAGTAACTATAATTGTTTTTTATATTAAATTTAAAGTTCTTTTTTCGTAAAAAAATTGTGTAATCAAATGTACTCCCTTCGTCCCAAAAAGTCTCATATCACCTTCATCTATTTATTTATTCACTTTTAATTAACCAAACCCCCCTATCAACCCTTGTTTTATTCACTTTAACTCTTCCCCTCTTTTTTTTCTTTTTTCTATATTCATCTTTAATCAACCAAACCTCAATCTTTTTGTTATGTTCACCTTCCTAAAAACTTGTGCAAAGGCCAAATGAGATTTTTTTATGAAAAATGCGGAGGGAATATTTGATAAAAGATTAAATGGAGGTTGTGCAAAAGCTTGCAAACAAAAGAGAAATGCTGGAGTATGATTACAAGCAAATAACATTTAAAAAGGACGGAAGGTACCTGTGAGTCTGTGACTTGAGAATGGACTTTGATGGTGTGAAGGAGAGCGAATCAGCAACCCCTCAACTGTAATAGATTTTTTTTTTAGATGTTCCATTAAAGTTGTCAATTTTGCTTAAATTTCTTGTTGATCCTTATGGTATAGGCTGTTTGTGAAATTACTGGGTATTATATAACGTTTTGCAAATTATAATAACATTTTAGTGCTGTTTTCTGAATTATAGTTGCTTAATTAGTTAATTGGAGGGAAAAAGGGCAGAAGCATCTTGAGGAATGTGATTTAATGGCTTGAACATGTTTTTACTCAAAACATGTTTTCCTAGTGAGTCCCCACCTGTTTTTGTACTATCAAATGACATGAACAGTTTTTTTTTTTTTTTTTTTTTTTTTTTTTTTTTTTTTGGGTTTAAACTTAAGTAGCCAAATTATACATGATCTTGCCTACTATATTTAGTTCTAATCCCAGTTGTAGGATTTTGTACCGGACTTGCTTCTTTTGATAATTAGTTATTAGCACTTTAGCAGTAGTATGCGTCTTATTTTGTTTTTGTTCTGTTAATAATATATACTAACTTATAATTTATAATTTCAAGATTGAGTATCTGTTGTCCAACTATCTGAAATTATTAACTGTATTTAGTCAAAAAAGTAAATAATTAGACATTTTTGTCAAATAAAATTGTTTCTGCATTGTGCTTGATTTCGTTTGTAACTTAGCTTAGAATCAGCATTTCTATCTTTTTCAGCTGCATCTGATCTGTACTTTTGATTTATCTCTACAAGCTGAGGAATTTCTGTGGCTATTTAAGTCAATTGAATTCTCTGTTTTTCTGCATATCTTGTTCTATCTGATTTAATTCTGTGGTCTGTCAAATCATCTCCTTTGTCTCCAGGTGCTATCTGCATGGAGCTTACAAAAATGCAATATGGCTCTCAGTACCTGACAATGGGTATAAGAAGTCTTAAAAAGGCACAAGGGATGTCCTCCATTCAATTGCCATTTGTTTCCCTTTTGTTGGCTCAAGCAGAAGCAAGCCTCGGATCAAAATTGAAGTGGGATAGTAACCTCCAATTGGAATGGTATTCTTGGTCACCAGGTATAATTTGTTAATTTAATTTCTGAGTTGATATGCATGTGTTATTCTATCTTCATAATTGCCCCCCCCCCCCCCCCCCTCACCAAAGTTGAAGGTGTGGGTATGTGGTCTAACCTTCAACCTTGATATTTGGTGGTGAGAAGCTCAATTTATTGAGTTTACACATGATTCCCTTTCCTTTGGGTACACTGTTAAGTGCAAAGTAGATACTTTCACTTTCTGCTTACTGTTATGATCCAGATGTTTGTAGCAGAAGGAATCATCATTGAAGCACGGAAGCTTATATGAAATTAATTTCCTCTTGCCTTGTCTTTTTTCCAGAGACGAGACCTGCTGAACTGTATTTTCAAATGCATCTGCTTGCACTTGGGTCTGGAACCACATCTAGTCAAGATTATGGAGATCCGCTCAACTGGGTTCTTCGAGCTATTCACTTGAATCCTTCTTGCTTGAGGTATTGGAGAGTCCTGCGAAAGCTTGCTGAGTGAAGTCTTGGCACATAAGGGGTTAATTCAAGTATATTAAGAGCCATAATATTGGTAGTTGTATTATTTGTGTTTACTGGCTTCAGTTATACTTGAGCTAGAAGACACAGCCCCATCAAAGTGTACATACTTTTATCAGATTTCTCATCAGGTGTAATAGGTCAGTGTTTTGGTTTTCCTTGTTATCTACTCTTCTAACTTTAACTGTAGTAGTTTATAGTCAATAGTCAGTTATATTAGTTGATAGTTTATTAGTTGATGGCTCACAATGGACTGTATTATCGATTTTAATTGAAGTGAAGGCGATTTCTGCCTAATGTATATGAGTGATTGAGGGGTGATAACTGTATACAATTTCTTATAGTTGATGTTCTGACTTCTGAAGCCTTGATTTTCATATAAATATCGAGCAGTGTTCGTGACTTCATGTCGATAATAAACAAGCCTCCCCACAATTGTATAACTAATCACCAATCAATAATATACAAGACACCTTAAGTTTTAAATAATTTGTACCTCAATATCATCATCATTTCACACCGAAGGATCAAAGACCAATTGGTTGTATTAGATTGTCTTATCATATTATCAAATGCTCATTGATATTGCTTTAAATCTTGTGACTATGTATTTAATACTTTTGGTTTTTTTTTTTTTTTTTTTTTTTTTTAACTAGCCTTTTTTTATTTGCAAGTATATACATGTATTTTCATATATATAAGATTGTTTTTTTTTTTTTTGACGGGTGAAACACGGAGCAAATAGGTAATAGTTTGGGAAATTCTCAATGGTAATCTTAAGGTTTCTATTTTTCTCAATGGTAAACACTAAAAAAACAAATTATCAATGGTAATCTTTAATTAATAAAACTATTCAGTGGTAACATTAGTTAAACATTTTAAGGAAATTTTAACCAAGGTTAATGCTTTACAAGGAAATTGCCTAAAATACCCTTATTGAAAAAAATACAACACCCATTTCTTCCCCGCCACCCCCTGCCCCAGCCCCACCCCTTATCCCGATCGACGCCAGCCGCGACCACCTAGATCCCCTCCCCGGCGCCGGGCTGAACCCCCCTTGCCGTTGCAACCCCTAAACCACCCAATCCCCCTTCTTCACCACCGCCATTTTCAAAACCGTCCTTCCACCTCCTCAACCCCACCTGTATTCACTGAAAATCCCAGAAATACTAAGTTAAAATCCTCCATATTCGATTCAACCCCATTTTCGAACAAAAATCGATGAAAATCCCCTAAAATACCTTGAATCGAGCAAAAAACGACTTAAATTGATGCAAATTGCTTCAAGATTTTCATTGCAGGTTGTCTAACCCTAAGTCGAGATCGACGAGGTTTTTGGGGATTTGTTGGTGGTGTAGTTTGATTTGGGTGAGTTGCAAATCGAGGGTAGAGGGAATCAGGGGAAGGAGATGGTGGCTGGCTGGGAATCGAGTGAGGAAAGGTCAATCGGGAAAGGAGATGGTGGTTGGGCTGGGAATCGAAGGAGGAGCGGGAATCGGGGAAGGAGATGGTGATTGGGCTGGGAATCAAGGGAGGAGAGGGAATCAGGGAAGGAGAGGCTCACTGCGCCGGCGCTAGGAGATGGGAGGGAGGGGGGTCGCCGCCCGTGGCCGCCGCTGGCAGGGGAGGGGGGCTGGCAGTGGATTGTGGTTGGGGTGGCAAGGGTTTTTTTAATTTTTTTTTATTTAATTAATAGGGTTATATTAGTCATTTTGCCTTAAGCTAACTACGGTTAGGCTAATAATTATGAATTAATGTCATTAATGTTACCACTGACTGAGTTTTACTAATTGAAGATTACCATTGATAATTTGTTTTTTTAGTGTTTACCATTGAGAAAAATAAAAACCTTAAGATTACCATTGAGAATTTCCCTAATAGTTTTAGATAGGTGACTATACAATTATATACATGATTGTCTTATCATATATAAGATGGTTGCTAATAGGTAATAGTTTTAGATAGGTGACATAGTGTAATGAATTGCTGTTCCTAGTCTATATAACATTCTAATTAAAAAAAAAACCCAAGTATATATAACGAAGATTTTCTTATTACATTAGTGTTGAGAGAACATTTCCGTAATTTTGGTGTATTTTTTTCTTAAAAAAGCGATGATTAATTAAACGAGTACCCATATATTAAAAAAAAAAAAAAAAAAAGTGCATAGGTTTATTATACTACTTCCGGATCACATTATATGCAACTTTTGGGTATTATTTGTGAGATATAAAAAATTCCAAAGTTGTATATAATACGATCCGGAGGTAGTATTAAAGTAGTTCATTAAAACCTAAACCCAATGTATCGCATACTCTATACTGTTTAGTATACCGTAGAAATCAAATTACTATAATCGATAAAAAGGTGGCTTGCAAAGTTTTAATACTGTACTGTAATTATTTTCTTGCAATTTTTTACTTCATTATTTTGTTGATTAAAGAAGCTAAGCTATGATGAGCTACTCATTTCCCTCCCTCTTGACAAGAAAGAGAACGGGAAAAACAAGAGCTTCATAGCTGTAACATTAAAGATTGATCATAAATATATAGTAACTCCATATATTAAGTCAAAATGAAGTATACATTATACAATGATACTAGTATAAAAAATCAAACAAAGTCACTTAAAAAACATAACAAAGGTTTTATTAATTTACTCTAACTCCCTCCCAAATTTATTTAAGCATATAACCAATTTAATGAAATGAAGAAAACATGATGCAAAATACAAATGCAGATCTTTGCCAAACTTGAGTAATTATGCAATTACTTTTTTTTTTTTTTAATGGAAAATGAGCCATCCATCATGATTTATAGTGTGAACTCTATATAATATAATGGCGTACGAAATTGTCTAACTAAATCACTACAGTACAAGAAAAATAAAAAGTAACAATGCAAGCAAATTAATAACTCAAAAGAAAGAACACTTGCTGAATAAATTTGTGTTGGCCTAATAAAAACATATTTAGAAATCACAATAGAGGATTTATGGAAATTAATGAGTTGGCCTAATAAAGAGGCAAAATCAGCTAGTGTATCTCGAAGGAAACTGACTGAGGAGGTAGAAGCTTTACAAAACAAGAGATAATCTGCAAAAAGTAAATACGATATATTAGGAGCAGAGGGGGCAATTTTAACTTCAATACCCAAAGATTTTTTCTGATTAATAAGCAATAATTTCTTAGTTAAAACTTCCATACAAATAACAAAAAGGGCAGGAGACGACAAAGAGTCTCCTTGTCTTTAACCCTTGGTTGGTTTGAGTAAATTTGTAGTTACATTATTGACAGCAGGAGAGCTCTCTTGGCGATCATAAGCTTTGTGACAATTAATCCAAATGGTATTAAATCCAAATGAAGAAAGAGTAGCCTATAAAAAATTCAACTCTAGGCGATCATAAGCTTTTTCCATATTCAGATTAAGAGCTTTTTTCCCAGGAAGGGGGTGGCTCAGCTCGTAATATGCTCATAATGATGTAACTAAAATTGAGATGTTTGCGATGACTGAGCTGGAGCATAGATAGCATATAACATTAAAAAAAAAAAAAAAAAATCATGTTCAAGATCATGGAGAAGCAAAGATGCAATTCTATGTTGTAAATTAATAACAATGACTAGTAATTGAAGAATTATAACACACCCACATACCACTGCAATGACCCTAAGGGTCGATAATATGTACAGTTTCAGTTCAATCGGCTTCTCTTGGTCCACAGTTTGGATGTGGTTTGGTCTTCTGGGTTGTCCAGGCTCCATGGCTCTTGGTCTGTTGCACGGTCTTTTCAGTATTTTCTTATCTTCGATCCTCCTAAACTAGTTCTTAGTGTGTGGTTTTTTATGTTCATGTATTAGTCTGTTTAGGTTGTTTAGGTTGTAATCCTGTTTTTCTTTAATAGTATCTTTTGTCAAAAAAAAAAAAAAACCCTTAAACAATGACTATTTATAGCAATTATAGGAGAAGTCATTGTTTCTATAGCAATAAAGATATCTGGGTTACTTTGTTTTCTTTGAAAATATCATTTTCGGGGTGTTTGGTTGGAAGGATGGAAATAAGAGGGATAAGAAGGGAGGATAAAGATAGAGGATTGATAGGTGGGACAAGGATAAATAATCTTTATCCCATGTTTGGTAAGTAGGGGAAAGAAAATAGGGATAAGTAATAAATTTATAAAAATACCCTTACTAACTTCTACCCTTCTCCTTACTTTTTCAATTTCATTAAGGGTAATTTAGTCTTTTAAAACTCATTTTAATCCCTTCCCCTTATACCACCCCCCCTAGTTATAGAAAAGGAGGGATAAGTGGGTGATTTAATCCCTATCCCTAACCCCCTTATAATCCCCATCCCTCTAAACAAACACTACATTCCTTCCATCCCTATTTTTTATCCTTGTCCCACTCCTTTTATCCCCCTAAACAAACACCCTCTTTACTTATGGCCTCATATCTCTTAGCTCCCCTTACATTCCAACTTATAATCTTCATATTAAAATCAGTTGTTAAAGAAAAACATTCCATAACTAAGAACATCAGGAAGCAAACAAACTCCAGAATAGGTAAAACCACAGTACATACAGGCAGAGTCTGTAGTAGACAAAGATCATAGTTTCCAAAAGAAACAACATCCATATTAAACAAGTAACAAGATAGGCTTAGGCTTTGGCTGAAGAGAGATGCTGTTGGCACAAGAAGTTCGAAAGGGTTCCTGTACTGTACCAAAGACATCTTATGTCTTGCCAAATCTTGCTCCTTTATGTCTCTTACTCATGTTGAGAGCGAGGGAGGGGAATAGGGTGCCGGTGGCTCACAATCTTGCTCAATTAAGCAAAGATTTTGATGTAATGTGTGTGTGGTTAGAGCTTAGAAGAGCTCCCTGTGAGCATTACGCCTGCTGTACCTTTCTTGTGCTCAAAGTATGAGTTAATAAAATTTGCTCTTCTCCCGTCAAATAAAATCATAAACAAGATTATAATATGAAAGGAACCATAGGAGGAGCAAATGATTAAGGGTCAATCATCACTTATAGCTAGCAACAAAAACAGAAATGGGATACGTAGGCAATGTTAATGCAAAACCATAGTCCAAGGTTCTACCAGGAATACAAGTCAGAAAACGGCACATTGAGCCAGCAACAATGAAGATCTAGCAGATGAAAAGTATCTTCCAAAACTACTCGGTTTCAAAAAAAAAAAAAAAAAAAAAAAACAATATAGCAAACTTGAGCAGACTGTTCACATCATATTGAACATTAATTCAAAACTGCCATCTCAGTGAGTAGACAGAAACCTCACTCCATAGAGTTTTCACATCATCTCCTTCAGAAATCTCACCCTTCGACATTATATCCTTCAGCTCCATCAACTTTTGACAGATGCTTCTTCTCCCTTTTCTCCTTTTGTTTTTTCTCCCTAAAACCCAAAAAAATAATGGTGTGGGATCAAGATCATGAACTATATATATATATATAATTAATTAGACGATAGGTACAAACAAATTCACTAAGGCCACCATTAGTAACAACACTAATCAATACTAGAAAGTAAACCAAAACAAGAAAGAAAGACAATACCTCTCCTTATCATTACTATCAAGTGGCTGGACTTCTTTCACTGGCAACACATAATCTAGCTTCCTTCTGACAGAACTTCTGTTGCAAAAAAAAAAAAAAAAAAAAAAAAAAAAAAAAAAAAAAAAAGACTAAGAATCTGTTTAGGGTTTAAAATAGACATTAATTAATAAAAGAACTCACGAACAGTCAATAAGCATTTCAGGTCAGGTACATTAAAATAGACATTACCCTTGATTAGTGATTACTTTCATGAACAATCATTTATGCATGAACAAATATTAAACTGACATGAATATAATGTTATTGCTATTAAAATAGGAATATTATGACATTTCTACTTTTATATCTAAATAGATAAATGGAATAAAAATAGTTATGAATTAATGTCAGGTATATCAAAATAGATATGAATAAAATTCACAATATAAACCCCACTTGTTTGGTGTTAAAAGGAACTTGTTACAAGGCCTTACCCTTCATTAGGGTCACCATCATCATTATCAGCTGCTATAATTGGCAGAGTGCTCTCCAGTTTCTGCTTTCTTCCTTCCTCACTAAACACAACACACAAAAACAAAATGAGACAGTACCAAAATGAAAAGCTTATACTATACCAATTCAAGAAATCAACTTATTTTGGATGAAGAAATAAATTGAAACAAGTTCACAAGGCCTTACCTTCCATTGTCATTTGCATCAATATCTTCAACAGTTAGCAAATGCTTGTTTCCTTGTTTGCATTTCCGTTTCTTCTCACTAGAATTCACAAGGAAAATAAAATGAGACAATCAAAGTAAACTAATATAAATTGGCAAATAAACAAGGCATTACCTTGCATTGTTTTGTCCTTCAAGGAAAATAAAATTACGTATTTACAAAATTTAACTTATTTGGTATGAAGATTAGACTAGACAAAACAAATCATTAAGTGTTATATATTTTCCTATATTCCTAACATTAAGGCCTTACCCTTCAACAATATCTCCTTCAGCTCCATCAACTTCTGGCAGTTGCTTTTTCTCCCTTTTCTTCTTTCTTTTTTTTCCGCTAAAAAGCAAAGATAATAATAATAAGATGCAGGGATGATAATTGCAAAGGATGATGATCAGAAACTAATATATACTCTAGACAGCAAGTGCAAACAAATTCACATGCCATTTTCACCCGAAATTATGCAGTATATTGTATTTAAGATCAAAAGTTATCAAACTGAGCATAGGTTTTTAAGTTTAAAAGACAATCGAGTCACATAAAATAAAATTCCTATAAGCTAGATAGACAAGAAGGAAGGCATATACTAACAACTTAGCTTCATTTTTTTATAAAATAATAAACCTGTCCAAGAAACTTACGAAAAACAAATTGGTTTCACTAATCTAGCTATGGTGCCAAAGGATTACAAATGAGTGGGTTACGTTGTTGCGTTTAGAATAAAGAGAAATAAACTTCATCAATTGAAAGCTTCATCATGGACAGTTCGACAGGAATAAAATTGACTTCAAACTTTACAGATTTACAGAATTTAACTTATTTGGTACGAAGATTAAATAAAACAAATAATTAAGGCCTAACCCATCAACATGTTCTCTTTCAGCTCCATCAACTTCTGGCAGTTGTTTTTTTCTCCCTTTTCTTCTTTCTCTTTTTTTCACTAAAAAGCAAAGATAATAAGATGCAGGGATAATAATTGCAGAGGACGATGATCAGAAGGAAGTATATACTTTAGACAACAGGTACAAATTCACATGCCATTTTCACCCAAAATTATAAAACTGAGCATAGGTGTTGACTTTAAAAGACGATTAAGCCACATAAAATAAAATTCCTATATGCTCGATAGACAAGAAGCAAGGCATATGCTCAGTTTTATAATTGGTTTCACTAATCTAGCTTCTTTTCCAAAGAACCAATTTCACATAAAGCAATTCACATGCCAATATGCTCGATACACAAGAACCAATTTTCCATAGAAGCTTATGAAAAACAAGTTGGTTTCACTAATCTAGCTATGGTGCCAAAGGATCACACATGAGTGGGTTGTTGCATTTAGATCAAACAACAAAAAAAAAAGTAAGGCCATTTGTCAGGTATATGCCTTCAATAATATCTTTGTGTTCATTTGCTTCTCTGTTGTTTCAAATTCAAAACTGGCTAGAATATAATGTGTTATACTAAATTCAATTAAATATCTAGTTCAAGAGATGAACAAAAACAAGAAAGCAAGAACAAGGAAAGACAATACCTCTCCTTTTCAATCCTATCAGCTGGCTGGACTTCTTTCTCCGGCAACACATAATCCAACTTTCTTCTTACAGAACTTCTAATGCAAATAAAGGTGGTGAAAAATGTGATAGACAATAAAAGACGAGAAAATAAAAATCATGACTACATGCATCAATTTTTGTTACCACGATTTTCCAAGGCACAGTTCATTCACATTGAACCAATATGCTTTTCAGGATTACGCCTTTATTACATTTATGGAATGAATGGTCCAAATATGACATCAACATTCAATATATTACACAATATATTAAAATAGAGATACATTCCATTCAGATTTAAATTATAATATACTAATAGGCGAATAGAAATGTGAATTATATTAAGACATGAATATAATTCACATTGACGGTTGATATTGAAATAGAAATGCATATTGACAGTGAAACTCACATTATAAAAATTCGAGAAACCCAACTTAGAAAGGCATTAAGATAGACATGAATATAAATTCCATTTTAAATTCAGATCTAAATAAATAAATGGAATTAAAGAAAACATGAATAAAACAGATTTCATGAACAGTCAATATGCAATTTCATGTCAGGTGTATTCTAATTTAGAATAGACATTAGCCTTCATTAGTATATTCATGATCAATCATAATTCACATGAATATAACATCATTTCTATTTTAATACATCTAAATTAACATAATTATTGTCAATTCTATATAATATATTAAAATAGACAATACCCTTCATTTGATGAATAAAATGTCATGAGAAAAAATGAGACAACCAAGTAATAAGAATTAAGATACCAGAATGATAGTCTTACAAGTATAGGAAAACATATTTCATTGATGGTTAAAACATGAATAGAACTACACTATACTAATTCAAAAAATCAATTTTGGGATTAAAATATGAATTGCAACGAGTTAATAACAAGGCCTTACCTTTCATTGTTTTCGCATTCAATTTCATCAGTGATTGGCAGCTGCTTGTTTGAATTTTTCCATTTTCTTTTTTCAGAACTAGAATTCAAAAGAAAAAAATTAAGATAATCAAACAATAAGTATACATGTATAAATTAATAAGGTGAAATATGTTAAAAAGGTTATACCCTTCATGATTGTCTCCATGATCAATTTCAGGAACAATAGGCAGACACTTGTTCTCCCCCTTTTTTGTACTTTCGTTCTTGCTGAAAAATCACAAGGATACTAATTAAGGGTACCATCATTCGCAACACTGAAAAATTAAGATAATAAGCACATATATTCAACAAAATTAAGAGGAGATTTTGTCCTAAAAATATTTCATGCTACAATTTTTCCAACATACCCTGATTGTTTCTCTTCTTGTAATATATGTTGATTTACTAGCACTTTTTCAATTGCATGCTTAACAATTGCTGCACTTTGAGCTTCAAGTAGATGTTCAAGGCTAACTGGTATTTGGTACAAAGAATCAGCTAAACCCGGAAGCAATATTTTGATACTGAAACTTGTACCACCTTTTTCCTTGACTGCATCACCCACAAAATCAGCGGTACCTAAAAGAGATAATCAATTGAATTAGAGAAGTTTGAATAGCTACCTTCACATCTACCGGACACAAACATATATCTTTGAGAATGAATCATATAATTTCGATCTGCATAATTTTCCTAATGTTATCAGGTTTATTAGGTTTCCATGCCAATGCTATAATATCAAAGCTATAATAATAAAATAAATTATATATTTTTCGTATTTTAATTTTTACAGTTTATAACTAAATAGAACAGAATATTATACGATCAACCTTTAAGATTTCATAAATGAAAATGCAACAATATTCCTACAAAGCATTAAATTTTACGTATTCTTAGTTACATTCTTATCACATAACAACTTATAAAAGTAATGGATTTTACCAAGACCCGGAATCTTGATACTTAGCATAGATTCTTTTTGGTGGATGCCTCTTCCTCCAATATCCATGCTACAAAAAAATTAACATTCATAGTAAAACAACGAATTAATAAGATATACTCATAACAATTAAAGTGATAAATAGGGAAAGAGAAACATACATAGGAGGGGCAACAAGATTCGTAGGTGAAGGAATATAATTGTAGAAATATCCAGCAAGGTGAACACCCCTCGGACCAGTAAGGGAGAAAACTATGTCTTGAGGTCCATGAAAATCCAACTTCAAAACGGCCATATCACACTGACTTACTCTCAACGAGCAAATTAGTATATCATCTTGGCCATCATAATTAACAAAAACCAAACTTCGCATTTTGATGTCCTCCGGTTTTTTGTACTCTAAAGTAGCCTACAAATTTTTCAACAAAGAATTTAAATTATTTTTAACTTTTATTCAAGAAAAAAAAACCCTCTTACAAATCATTTACCTTCCACAAACAAAGTAATAAAGACTATTTATGCTTAAAAAGAGGGGAAAAAAAAATCTTAATAATTTTAATGGAAATTGCTTAATTTAAATAGTGAAACATTCTCCCCTAATATCGATAGTATAAAACTTGTTGATTAAGACAATAATGCTAAGTACTAGAAAATATGTATATATCTGGAAAGAAATGTAGAATGAGTGTCTCAGACTAGCATAAGTAATGAAAAGGGAGCCATATTAGACCAGTACTCCAACCATAATAATCTTGTTTTTTAGAAACAAACAAATAACTGACCTCTAAATAAGATTATGTATAAGACATCTATGAACATGGATTCATAGCTTTAGATTTGCCTCAGATGTGATTCAGGTATGATCATGGAAAAATATGAAATTTATATCTTTATTTGACAAACAATCAAAATGTAAACCAGAATATCTCTAATCCTTCAATATTGGAATGCCCTCCTCTTTGGTTTTTAAAGTGGCTGACTATTGTCTAACATCACAATTTAACGACAAAGTGCACAGTGTACATCATAGACTCATCAGATAGATTTTATGTAATCTTCTATGCTGTCAATACACAAACATTACCGATGACCCCCTGTAGATAACTACGGAGTATATAGCAATGTGTACAGAAAATTGTCATTGACTCTCTACAGATGACTATATGGCAAGAACAAAGTCAGAACATCATAAAGGCCAAACCATCAACCTCATATACGCAAAGGAAATGTCCCAGATTATTTGCTATGGAGTATTGTGTAATCTTAGGCATAAAAATTGCATGATTTTGCTTCAGGATTTTGTTCATGAAGCCACAAATTCAGCTCCAGATGCATCTAATGCTCATGCCCTCCACCCTCATCACATTACACCCAAAAATAAAAAATTAAAATTACTACTTTACACCCAACAATTATCAAACCACAGATATAATCCCCATTTCTCCTAGAATAAAGATACTTTTTAGGAACAATGAGCCTGACGCTCATCAATCTGGACATGCTTTGCCCTCACATTATCGATCATCAACAAAAACATATTTTTACATAATGCACCAAATGCAATATGCGCTGAATTTACCAGATTACAGTCACCATTAACAAAACGGTCAAAATCCCATCTCACATAATGCACCAAATACAAACATCCATATCAATTTCAACATCAACTAACTTACAAAAATTTAATCCGAAAAATCACCCAAAAAAACAAATGTATCTTGCTTTAGCAAAACCCCGGCTCACATAATACATGAATTACAAAACACCCACATCAAATTATCACAAAAAAATTAACCAAAACAACAAATGTACCTTTGTTTAGCAAAATCATGTCTCACATAATGCATAATTACGGAACACCCACATCAAATTATGCATTTATACCAACAAATTCATAAAAATTAACCAAAAAAGCAAATGTACCTTGGTTTAGCAGAATCTTATCTCACATAATGCATAATTACAGAACACCCACATGAAACTGTGCACTTATACCAACGAATTCATAAAAATGAGTATGTGGAATCATAAGAAGAAATATATAAATACTCTATACAATCTTGAACCAGAACCAAGACTAAAACTTTAAAGTTGATTAAAAAAAAAGGGCAAAAGGCCAAAAATAGCAACAAAATTTGAACAAAATGCAATGTATCAAACAATTATTTATACTGACAGGAGGGATTTATAAAAGAAAACAGCACAGAAATGTAGGACTTGTAACTGAACTAATAATGATCATTGATGGAGATGACAAAACGACATTCAAATTTTAAAATAATCCTCCAAATTTGAGCGAGGTACAGAGATTGACATTGTTTTAGTAGTCTCATACATAACTTACAAATATTATGCCAATTCAACAAAAAAATTCAAGCGAAGAAATAAAGAAGCAAGTAAATGAAGATTGAAAATAAAACCTGGGAGATATGAAGACTCTTGAATGAGTTGCAAGGTAAACTCACGGTAACGGGTTTTCCCGGCATAACCTTGATCCCTACATTATGTATGGAAATTATTCATTAATTAAATTAATATTTAAAAAAAAAAAAAAAAAAAAAAAAAAGAGTGAAACAAGGTTGCATTGGTTAATGGTTACCGCAGAACGTCGAAGGAGAAGAAGAGTGATGAAGATGATCTTGTGATGAAATCTCATGTGAAGAAGAGTAAAAGGAGTGATGATTCATTATCAAAGTTGAAGTTAAAATTGCAAAAGTTTATATTTTTAGAGAGTGTATAGGTGAATACGGAGTACAAGGGAAAAAAAAAAGGGAAGGATATGAAAGAGCGAAAGGTTACAGACAGGTTACTTGTAGTGTGACAACTCGCCTCCCAATGCTCTCCTCAATTTAATCATCGCCTTTTCACCCTCCTTTCATTACTACGCCATATTGTCTTTTCATCTTCTTCCTTTACCATTAATTTGTACATCTAATGTAATGTAATAATTAAATATTTATATGTAAGGATATTTAAGTAATTATTATAAAAAAAAAATAAAAAAAATAATTGTTTTATTTACATCCAAAAAAATCAATTACAGAGTATAAGGTATACTTTTATTTATATTTTATTTTATATAGACTAATTGTTAAGAAGGAAAATGCATTAATAACAATGCTATGTAAAATAATAATAGTAATTGTTCATACATACTCCGTATTACATTATTAGGGTGTTATACACACAAATATCAATATATAGATACTCCTTCAAACTTTATCATCATAAATAAATAAATATATAAAGTACAAGAACTACGGTATACATCAAGATTAAAATAAAAGATAATTTTTTTCAACAAACAGGAAAAATGAGCCAAAATATTCGAGAAATGGTCATATTTCTTATATTATAGCTAGGGGTGGGCAAAATGTCTAAATACCTAGAAGGCTAGAATTAAAATTGATATTTCGGCAGAATTGATCCGGTACGGTGCTCAATTTTAAATCAACCTATGTTTGTTCAAATAAGGTCATATTGTCTAATTTATTCATTTTTGCTTTCATTTTTTATACAATATTCGACTCTAGTTTGGAGTTTCCTTAGGTAGTTGTAACCATTTAATTTTCCTACTAACCTTCATATTGTCAATCGTTACAAATTCATCTCCCATTGTTAATTTGATGTCACCATGTGCCTTTATTTGAATTATGGTGGCCAAATAAGGTTTTAAACAACCTTTTATGACCCTAGGATGAATACCATACCATCACTTTAGTTTCGGTCAACGTCGGATTCTAATGTTTTCAAAATTTATCTGTTTTTTTTTTTTGAATTATTTATCCGATTTTAGTTTAATTGAAACAAAGGGTTTAAGGGCATGTTCACATTTACTGAATTGAGCTAGACTGAACTGATTGGAGCTGAACGAAACTGAACTGAGTTGAAATGAATATTTTATGAGAGAATGAAGTTAGGAGCTAAACTGAACTGGACTTTACTAGAGATGAGCTGAATTGAATTGAACTGAAATTAAGCTGAAGTGAAAAGATCTTAAGTCCTTTTTGCAAACTCCATGAGATCGACTCACATAACTTTAGTTTCAACAACGAATTCTATAACTTAGAAAAAAAAAGATCCAATTTTGTGTAATTTATAGCTATCAAATTGGGAAAATTTATGGCTTTTCTGATATCACAATGGACAGGGTTCAAATTAATTCCAGTGACCTCATAAAATTTTGGGAGGTCGATTAAATGGTTAAAATCGTCAAATATACTTTTTAATCAAATTTAGCTCTCCACCAAAAAAAAAAATCAATTTAGCTTTTTTTTAACACAAATTGAAGATAATTATATTAAGAGGCTAAGGCCTTGATATAATTACATCAAGCATCTCATACATTTTACATAAAAAGAGGATGCTTGCCAAAATAATGCCTAAACTATAGGCTAAATCGTTGTTCCTGCTCTACAAAACCCCCCTATAATAGTTAACCATACATTGCACTAACCCAAAAGTAAATTCCATCCACCCCAAAAGTTATATTCATCCATAACCAAGATAGCAGAAAACTACATGGACAGAGCTGTCGAAACCCCTAATGCAGGAGCAACAGAAGCATTTCGTGCAGAAGCAACATGGAGAAGATCAACTTCATAGATTGAACGCACGCATTCTGGAACAAGATAATGAGTTTTGTAACCCACTGCCATCTCCTTGTCAAATGCAGCTAGCTTATGAGCTAGCTCATTTTTCTCTCTAGGAACATGGGTGATGATCACTTATTCAAATTTTCCCATAACTACAGCCACATCACAAACTGCAGCCGCAAGTTCATGGTGAGGGTTAGGACCTGTTGTCGGCAACATAGTCCTTAATGACTGAGCATCTGTTTCAACCTCAACCTTCTTTATCCTTAGATCATTAGCAATTGAAAGTCCATCATTAAGAGCATACAATTCTGCTGCGAGAGGAGAGACAGCTGAATATTTGCAGGAGAAACCCACATACCAAGTCCCATCAGATCGTCTAAGAACACCCCCTCCCGAGGAGATTGCTGAATTCATCCATGCTCCATATGTATTAATCTTGATATACCCTTCCTTTGGAGCTTCCCACTTCAAACTTGAAGAGCTTCCAACCACTGCTTTACCTTTGTTCTTCCTATCCTCCACCTGTGAAATATGAAAAGTGAATTGGAAATCCACAAGAAATTTAGTAAACAAAGGAAATGAGCTGATTGTCTTATTTTCAAAGACCATATCATTTCTTTGCAACCAAAAAAGCAGTGACAAAAATTATCCTCCATTTCTTGTCTAACCCCAAATTATAATTCAACCAAACCTTCCAATTTTCATTTTTGAAAAGTTTAAAATCAAAATTCTTTGGTTGATACACTCTTGCAAAGATATCATTCCATAGTATTGAAGAAGTAAAACAGTCACGAAAAAGATGAATGTGTGTCTCATTATATGAGTTACATCTTGAGCAAACTGGGGAAATTAGAGGCATATAAGAAGAAATAGTATCAGCCACTGGCAAAATAACATGCGCACAATTCCAAGCAAGCATTCTATACTTAAAGGGAGCTTGCATTTTCCACAATGACTTCCATGAATGAATATTTTGGGAAACAGAACAAGAATCCTTAAGCAAAAAATGATATGCTGATTTATTTGTAAAAATTCCACTTTTGCTAAGATCCCAAGTAATAAAATCTTCCAAATCATGAATTTTAGAGAAGGAAGTAGCCTTAATTTTAGGAATAATATCAGGTGGCAAAAGATGTTCAATGTCATTTAAATACCAACTTCCATTTCTGATTATATGAGCAACACTCCAATGACCTTTTGAGTTAGGAACTTCTACATTCATGATAGTATACAAAGGAGCATTACCCACCCAATGATGAAACTATAGAGAAGTTGATTTCCCGTTCCCAATTCCAACCCTTAAACCCGAGGCTAACAACTCCCTCCCTTTTAAAATATCTTTCCAAATTTGAGACTGAGAAGAATTAGCATGACAATTAAAAAGCGCACTATGTTTTAAATATTTTTCATTCAAAATCCTAACCCATAATTTTGATGGATTAGTTAACATAGTCCATCCTAATTTAGCCATAAAGGCAATATTCCACAACTTAAGTCTTCGAATGCATAATCCTCCTATTTCCATTGGCTTAGTGACATGATTCCACCCTAACTTTGTGGTATATTTTGTCCTATCAACCTTGTTCCATAAAAATTTCCTACAATGCCTTTCTATATCATTTCAAATTAAAGCAGGTAAAAGACTTGTTTGCATCAGATACACTGGAAACGAAGATAAGACAGATTTAACAAGGGTGCATCTCCCTGCTAAATTAAGCAACTTAGATTGCCATCCCTTAATTCGATCAAAAGTTTTATCAAGAAGGCCAAAGTAGTCACTCTTTTTTAGCTTATTAGGGTTAATCTGAACACCAAGATATTTACCAAAAGAAGTAGAAACTGAAAAATTAAATTCTTGTGTTTTTGGGAAAAATTACAGAAGATTTGCCTTGATTTACCCTAAGACCACGGGCCGTTATTTTAATCCAAATAATATTTTTTTTTTTAATTTGAACCATGATACATAGTGTCATACCCCACATTTACTTCATTTTACAACGTACATTAGGTCTTGAAATATAAAAAATGGGTCAATTTTGTATTTACAATTTCTTACCTTTTAAAACTATATGCAATTTTTTTCAATGGATTAGTAAGGTTCATTTCAGAATACTCTATCTAAATATGAAGTGTTGTTTTCCTAATACAAGTACACTACGCACTATATAGTAGCGGAGTCATAATTTTAACAATTTTAGGGCACTGTCTATCGAGAAATCCTCTTATCAAGTCCCAAAAATCAGTTTATATTATTCCATTTATATTTATTGTATGCTAGTTAATAATCATAATGCAGACATCACATTTTATTATCCTAAGCTTACAAATTTTGCTAGTTGCCTTAATGAAGCTCCAATTTGTAATTTTTCTATTTTATTTTTGTAAAATAAATTTACTCATAAATTTCACAGTTTAACTCTAATATTTTAAGGGGGGGAAAAAGCTCTAATATTTTTAGAAGGATTTTTTGAACATTAAATTTTCATATATATTTGAAGAGGTTTATGATCTTTTGTATTTTTCATCATCCAATGAGAAATTAGAAATAAATACGTTGAATTAGGATAAACATATTTAATTTTATTTTGGCCCCCTTGATGTATAGTTTCTGGTTCCGCCACTGAGTTAGCTCAGCCCCTAGTACTATACATAATTTAGGGGTTTAAAAAATATAAAGATGATCTTATAGTTGCTCTGAAATTTCTAGGATAATTTTTTTAATTTTTATTTATTATTATTATTATTATTCATGAGATTATATTGAATTATTTATTGTTATATATATATATATATATATATTGAATATAAACATGACAGTATGACACTTGAGTTTAACCTTGTAAATCCAATTGCCATTTTTTGCTTTTGTGTCTATTGAATTGTTTAATTTTTATAACAATTGCAAAATTCATTTTTCATTAGCTAAAAGCTAGAGTACAATTTTTCATTAGCTAAAAGCTAGAGTATAATATAAAAGGAGCCATAGGAGGAGCAAATAATTAAGGGTCAATCATCACTTATAGCAAGCACCAAAAACAGAAATGGGATACGTAGGCAATGTTAATACAAAACCATAGTCCAAGGTTCTACCAGGAATACAAGTCAGAGCAGAAAACTGCACATTTAGCCACCAAAAATGAAGATCTAGCAGATGCAAAGTATCTTCCAAAACTACTCGGTTTCAAATAAAAAAAAAAAAAACAATATAGCAAACTTGAGCAGACTGTGTTCACATCATATTGAACATTAATTCAAAACTGCCATCTCAGTGAGTAGACAGAAACCTCACTCCATAGAATTTTCACATCATCTCCTTCAGAAATCTCACCCTTCCACATTATATCCTTCAGCTCCATCAACTTTTGACAGATGCTTCTTCTCCCTTTTCTTCCTTTGTTTTTTCTCCCTAAAACCCAAAAAAATAATGGTGCGGGATCAAGATCATGAACTATATATATATATATAATTAATTAGACGATAGGTACAAACAAATTCACCAAGGCCACCATTAATAACAACACTAATCAATACAAGAAAGAAAGACAATACCTCTCCTTATCATTACAATCAAGTGGCTGGACTTCTTTTACTGGCAACACATAATCTAGCTTCCTTCTGACAGAACTTCTGTTGCCAAAAAAAAAAAAAACAAGGAAAGACTAAGAATCTGTTACTACATCAATATTTGTTACCACAATTTTCTAAGTTACAATTCGTTTACACTAAAACCAATATGTTTTTCATATAGTTTATATATATGCCTCTAAATCAAATTCAAGGAACAAATTTAAATCTGTAGTCCAATTGTCCAAATATGAGATCAATTGTCAATATTAAAATAGAAATGCATTCCATTTAGGTTTGAGTTATAATATAGATGAATAAAAATGTGTACTATACTAAGACATGAAAATGTATCACATTGATGGTTGACATTAAAATAGAAATGCATATTGACAGTGAAACTCACATTAAATTTGAGAACCCTCATTTTAAAGGACATTTAAATAGGCATGAATATATTTTCCATTTAATATATTTATCTAAATTCAAATCTAATAAATAAATGAAATTAAAATAGGCATGAATAACATAGAACTCACGAACAGTCAATAAGCTTTCAGGTCAGATATATTAAAATAGACATTACCATTGATTACTTTCATGAACAATCATTTATGCATGAAGAAACATTAAACTGACATGAATATAATGTTATTGCTATTAAAATAGGAATATTATGTCATTTCTACTTTTATATCTAAAAATAGATAAATGGAGTTAAAATAGACATGAATAAAATTCACATATAAACCCTACTTGTTTGGTGTTAAAAGGAACTTGTTACAAGGCCTTACCCTTCATTTGGGTCACTATCATTATCAGCAGCAATAATTGGCAGAGTGTTCTCCACTTTCTGATTTCTTCCTTCCTCACTAAACACACACACAAAAACAAAATGAGACACTACCAAAATGATAAGCTTATATACTATACCAATTCAAGTAATCAACTTATTTTGGATGAAGAAATAAATTGAAACAAGTTCACAATGCAAGGCCTTACCTTCCATTGTCATTTGCATCAATATCTTCAACAGTTAGCAAATGCTTGTTTCCTTGTTTGCATTTCCGTTTCTTCTCACTAGAATTCACAAGGAAAATAAAATGAGACAATCAAAGTATACTATTATAAATTGGCAAATAAACAAGGCATTACCTTGCATTGTTTTGTCCTTCAATCTCGTCAGCAATTAGCAAATAATGCTTGTTCGCCCCCTTCCACTCTCTTCTTTCATTCTCACTAAATACACACAAAAATGAGGCAAACGAAGATTGCAAATTAAGGCTTACTAGATAGAATTAGACACAGGCAACAAAACATTTACTCAAAATCCATCTTCATTGAAACCAATAAAGAAAAGGAATCGAAAAAGAAGAAAAAAGAAACAGTTATATGTAACATTGTATCTAGAACACCCACTTGGATGGAATATGAACAAACTAACATAATTATTTTAACTTTTACATAATGTTAGAAGTTATAGACAAGAATTCTAATTAGGAAATTTTATTCGAAACAAAAGAGAAACGTTGTCCTTTTATTATTTGACTTGATATGCTATTCATAATATGTAGCATAACACTTAAAAGAATAAATAAGGAAAGAGGAACATACATTGGAGGGGCAACAAAATTAAGTAGTGAAGTTGTACGGTTATAGAAATGTCCAACTAGATGAACTCCCCTTTGACCTTTAAGGGAGAAGACCATTTCACAAGGTCCGGTAAATTCCAATTCTAAGGTCGCCATAAGAGTGCGGTATACTCCCAAGGAGCAAATTAAAATTTTATTTTTACCATCACATTTTACAGAGACCAATGATCGATATCTGCTGTACATATTTTCCGAACTTGAGGACTCTGCCGTAGCCTACAAATTATTTGATAAAAATCGGATTATAAACTATGATGAAATAATCTACAAAGAAAGAAGCAAGAAAAAAAGTAGAGAAAACAAAAGAAAACCTGAGAAATGTGAAGACAATTGAACGAATTATTTGGTAACCTCACAGTAACAGGTTGTTTTGGCAAAACCTTGATCCCTACATCAATGGAAATTACAGATTATTTTTTTTATTATTTATTTAACAAAAACAATGAAACGATAAAAAAATGTAAAGTTTGTAAAGGGCTTGAAAAACTTGCAACTAATACATACTTTACATATGAAACTTTAAGGCATGAAATTTTCTTAAGATATATAACGTTTACATATCAGACAAAGGGTTTTTTATTTAAGGCATGAAACAATCAAACTTTACATATCAAACAATCAAATTAAAAAATGTAAAGTTATATGTTGAGGCATGAAATAATCTTAAGATAATACATCAAATTAAGACAAAAATAATAATATCCTATAATCAAGGTAACTACCCAAAAATACTTATTTAAAATATAATTTCAACTAATATATAATGCTCACAATGAAAATTCCATAAATTAATTTAATTAAACCAAAACCCCAAACTACCATTTCACAAAACAACCAAAATGGGACAACAAGGTCAACATCTATCATCACAAGTTATACCTAATAAACCCTAACATGCTAATAAGTCAATTTAGAGCACAATCATGATATAACACAACAAGAAATTCCTTTAAACTTTGAGCATCTATAACCAGTTCATTAAACCCCTAAAACCATGTTTAAACCTAATGAAATCTATCATCACAAAAATACCACACAACAACTACCATATCAATCCCAAAAATATAAGATAAGCATATCAAATTATATCTTTACAATAAAAAAAAAAAAAAGGAAAAAACAAGCTTACCCCAGAAAGTCCTCTCCGAAGAAGATTGTTGGTCGTCCAACATTTCTGTGATGATCACATATTCATATTTGATAATTGAGATTGAAAAGAAGAAGAAAGATTTTGTTTTCTTTTTGAACGGAAGAAGAAGAAAGCTTTTATAAGGTAAAACAGTGATATAGGTGATGACTAGGTGAGTGGGGGAATAGGGAAGGAGAGTTGTGCGTTTCCCAAAGGGTTTTTTTTTTAAGGAAATCATTATCATAGAATATTCTTTTTTAATTTTCTGTCTTTTCAATTTCTTCTTCAAATATAAAAAAAGAAATGTACATATATTTTTTATATGTGCACATTTTAATACTTGTTACATGACTTAAATCTACTTGTATTGTTAAGTTCACTTAATTAGTTGCAACCCTCTAATTTTCCATTAATTTAACGTGCCTTTAATTATTTAATTTTTTTTTCTTTTTTTTGGTGAATTAACTATCAAATTTTTTTTATAAGGCTAAAATGAAATTATACCATGCATGCGAGTACTATGGTAGAAAGTTACTTACAAGTATTATATAATGTTACAACTAACATATGAAGTAATATTTTTGTAAAAGAAAAAAAAAAATTACAACTAATTTAAAAGCCTAAATTAAAACGCGTCGTGGTTCATCCTATATTTATATTCTAAAAATAATTACACCATATTCATTTTTGAAGTAATTAATAAGTGTTCCTTATATAGTTATCTCCTATTTCAAATTTATAACACCATAATTATCAAACCTCTATCATTAGAACCTGTGATTTTCTTAAGATCCTTGTTTATATATTTTAGTTCCTTTAAGCTATTTTTTTAAAAAAAAGTTTAGTGGATTATATAATCAAATTAGAACAAAATTTTAAAAGTCCAAAGTGATTACATATTCAGTTGTGTAAATTCCTTTGCGTAAGTATTAATCTAATTTGTAGTAAAAATAAAATTGTAGCGTACAAGTGAATATGTGATACGGAGTAAAATACATACAGTACGTACTATGCCACTTTGATTGTAAAATGCACATTAATGAGCAAATTAAAATGCATGTCATGTCATGAGTCATGACTTCCTCGGGGATTGAAGGTGAATGAGGTTAATAATTAATTAATTAATTAATTAATTAATTAATGAGAGATTGAGAGGAGATGAAGAAAGAGGGATATCAATAATACTCCATGCGATCATATTTCAAGAATCAATGCAACCACTTTAATTTACAACACCCTAATTATTAATGTTTGATTTTTTTAAATAATGGTTTTTTTTTTTTTTTTTTTTTTTTTTTTTGTATTTATAAGCCTAAAGTTTGTTAAATATTTAGATAAAATTCCTAATATTAAAAGACACTCCGTAATATATAATATTTAATTAATTTAAACTTAAAAATCTTATTCGCCAATTTTGCTTAAATGACATTTAAATTATTTAAATCTAAAAGAGATTAATAATCTCTTCTTTAATTGGCTACTACTAAGATTTATAATCCTACATGGCGCGCTGAGAAAATTAGATCCTACGTGGCTCTCTAAAAACTCGGGAAAAAACTCCCCTTTATATATATATACTAGTTTTGTGCCCGTGCGATGCCCGGGTTGTTTATTGAATTTTAAGATAAATTTTTAATCTATATGCCAAACTTTTAAACATATCATTGATACAAAATTAGTTAGGAATTGATGTGTTTTTGTGATGATTTAAACTATATAATAGGCATGTAATGACTAATAATAATAACATTGGTGAAAAACATTTTTTGACCCGTAACCTAAAATAATGACCCCGTCCGAAATAACTTGTGACCCGACCCGATTGACAGGTCTACACATAGTAATAAAATTATATTAGATTGTAAAGTATATTGTTTTAATTGATAATGATTAGGGGATTTTTATCCACCAATCACCGTCTGACAAGTGGACCAACCAGGTTCCGCCACGTGTCCTTCACGTAGGCCAATAGGAGCCTGCCACGTGTCAATAACAGATACGTCCTCTACGGACCAATCGAGGCACGCCACGTGTCCACCCATGCCAAATGGGAAAACCGGCCAACAAGGCCCAATCCTGTCTAGAGGCCCGGTCAGCCCTAGGTTTACCCTAAACCTAGAGAGTGGCACGCTTCTCAAGACTATAAATACTTAATTAATCCTCATTAAAGGGAAAAAAGAAAAACATCAAGCAATTGAGAGAGCAATTGATCAAGCAATTAATCTCACCTGAAGAACAGAGAAGAACAGAAACATTACGGAACACTAATAACCGGCTAATCTCGCTAACAAAGCAGATTACCAACATTAAACACTCTCACCTAGAGAGGTCTTATTACTTTAATTTCCGTATTAATTACTCCTTAATCAGGTACTAACTTGACCGTTGGAGGCGGAGCTCTCAGGAGTCTCCGTTATTTTGCAGGTACAGGCGTCCGGTTCCAGTCTCGGAATTGCAACTCTCCCGCAGGACATCAGAAAACCCCGAAACATTTGGCGCCGTCTGTGGGGAGAGTACTTCAGAGATGGCATCCAAGTCTGTACCGACTCCTGAAGAGAGGCGTCCCCTAAACGACCCTCAAGTTCAGTCGGACCATGACACCGAAAGTGAATTTGAAGTTGAAACTCATACAGCTCCAGACGGGACCCTAAGGGCCCGACGTACCCGTCATACCGAAAGGAGGGAACGGGAGCATCTTCAAACAGGAAGCGAGCCAGCAGGCGCACCGCCTGCTCGGCAACAGCCGACTGATGGGTCTGCTCCCATCACAAGGAACGAACTCATGACCTTCATGAGGGACTTCAAGGGAGAGATCCAAGAGTTGACCAACAAGAAGCCGCCTGCTTCAGTCAAGGAGCAGTCGGCCAAGAAGCCTTCCTCTTCACAGAAGAGGAAGCCAGTTCAAGGGCGAGAGGCGACTCCTCATCCTAAATCTAGGAAGCGGGAGCCACCTGCCCTTGATTTCACAAAATTCCGTTATCCTACAGGAAATAGGAAACCGGTTCGTCATATTCAGGCGGACGGGTCAAAGCAAACGTTCACAGATGCTCGGCTACTGCTAGAGCAGAAGAAGAGTGACCGATTGTCAGAGTCGGCTTCTACTTCAAATTTTCAAGACAGTTTGCGAAATGCCTCGATGAGGCATACTCAGTCGTACCATGAGAGTCAGTCAGGCGGCACCTCCCGTCAGTCCGGCTTTCATAGTGCCCAGGCGGTACCAAACTTACCATTTGTGCCGCAACAACCGTATTTTATGCAGCCACCTCCATTTGGTGGACCTGCAGCAAAAAACGTCCAACCTATGGACTGGCAGCTACGGTTGCTTAGACTTGGTGAACTGCCGTCGGCCTTCTCCAAGGAAATTACTGAAGCCGCTCAGCCGGCCAAAGTAAAAAATGTACTAGTAGGCGCCTATGACGGCACTACTAACCCAGAAGACCATCTGATGGCATTCACCAACCTGATGTACCTTCAAGGGTTGGATGATCCCACTTGGTGCAAGTGTTTCCCAGCGACTCTCAAGGGAATCGCACAGCAATGGTTCAGCAACCTGCTGACTGGTTGTGTAAACAGCTTCAGGACGCTTGCTTACTTATTTGCCTCCAACTTCGCCATGAACATCCCTGCGAAGAAAACGACCCTTGATTTGGGAACAATTCAGCAGGGCGAGAAGGAGGGGCTTCGTTCTTACATCAGGCGGTTCAACCTGATGAGAATACAGATTCAAGGGTTACCGGATGAGGTAGCTTATACTGACTTTTTTAGAGGTCTCAAAGACGGGTCTACCTTCAAATTTGATTTGGTTCGAAAAAGGGTGGCGACTCTTCAAGAGGCCTTGATTGAAGCAGAAGCCTATATACAGGCGACTGATCTGTGTACAATAAAACAGTCGGATGGGAAAAGGTTCGACAAAAGAGAAGGACGACAGAAACAGTCGTCTAACAAAGATGAGAAAAGAAAAGAGGTCTGGGCGGCTGATTCCTCTAAACAGCCGGCCCAGAAAAAGAAAAAAGAATTCAAACCATACTCCCCAAAGTATGTGTTTAACAAGGATAACCAGTTTATCCTAAAAGAAATAAAGGGACGGTTCTCAATTGAGAAGCCGGTCCCCATGAAGGGTTCTGCAAACAACCGGAACCAAGATAAAATCTGTGCTTATCATGATGACGTTGGTCATCACACCAATGACTGCATCAGTCTCATGCGGTACCTAGACCGCTTGGCTGAGCAAGGTGATCTTGACACTTATGTCAAGAAATCTACGGGGAACACTTCCTCAAAAAAGCAGTCGGCCAAAAAGAATCAACAGGCCGACAGTTCCGATACAGATGATGCAGTCGTCAACACCATTGCAGGCGGCTTCTCAGGAGGCGGCCCCACTATTAGGGGCAACAAAGATAATATAAGGCGGTTAGATGTAAATTCCGTTCACCAAGAACGGCCGTCCAAATATACATTTCCTGAGATTGTCATCACTGAAGAGGATCTAGGAGGGGTAAGGGGGCCGCATGACGACCCTCTCGTTATTGAATGTAAAGTGGCCAACCAGAGAGTTGGCCGAATCCTCATAGATACCGGGAGCTCCTCAGATCTCATCAGCAGCAAATGTCTGTCAAAACTGAAATATCAGACGGACTGTATACATCCGGCCTCCCACCCTTTAATAGGGTTTGGAGGAGGAGTCGTCCACCCACTGGGACGAGTAGATTTACCCATTCGCCTGGGCGAAAAAGGGGAAGGACGACACATGGTAGTCCGGTTCCTAGTAGTAGAGGAACTCTCGGCCTACAACATGATTCTGGGTCGACCAACCCTGAATAATTCCAAGGCTGTTATAATCCCGTCTCTTATGCTGCTCAAGTTTGAGAGGGATAATGGAACAGTCGGCTCCCTAAGGGGAGATCAGAGGATGGCCCGAGAGTGCTATCTCTCGGATGTCAAGCCCACTGTTATGGCCACTGGGTCAAGTGGAGAAAAAACAGACCTTGACAATGTCAAGGAGAGTGCGCCTGTTCAAGAAACAGGCGACAAAAAGAGAAAGGCGTCCCAGACAGAGTCCGCAAGAAAAGCAAGAAAATAGCAATCATTGGCAGAGGAGCGGCCGGATGAGTTCCGCCCTCAGCCGGCTGGTGAGCATGCGGACCTGATCTTAGATGACTCACTTCCTGACCGAACAGTCAAAGTTGGGACGACTGCTCTGAGAAACCTTGGTGACGACTTTCACAACCTATTGAAAGAATACAAGGACATCTTTGCATTTGAAGTCCATGAAATGCCAGGCATTAGTCCTGATCTAGCAGTACATAAACTCGCTGTGGATCCGAAAAAGAAGCCGGTACGGCAAAAGAAGCGGAACCATGGCGAAGAAAGAAGTCAGGCGGCAGCCGCCGAAGTTAAAAAATTACTTGATGCAGGGTTCATTCGGCAATGTTACTTCCCAGACTGGGTTGCAAATGTGGTACTTGTTAAAAAGCCGAATGGCACCTGGCGAATGTGTGTAGACTACACAGACTTAAACAAGGCGTGCCCCAAAGACAGTTACCCTCTGCCTAAAATTGACAACCTGGTCGACTCAACAGCCGGCCATGCCTTGATGAGTTTCATGGACGCCTATTCTGGTTTCCATCAAATTCCCTTATGGA